TATATATATATATATATAAATATATATATATAAGTAAGTAATTGCAGATAAGAAAAATATATACGAAAGAAAACGTTTGTTCATAAGAAAATTGTCTTATCGTTATTTCTAATAGCGATAAGAGAAGAATATATAGAATATAATGTAATAAAACGTATCTGTAATTAAAATAACATTCTGATATTTAAATGGGAATGATAATTTATTATTAGTGGATCCATAAACGATAAGTTGTTTTTTCAACCAGAAAATAAATTCGATCGAACGAACGAACGAAAAAAAAAAGTAAAACTAACGCGTGTCTTCTCAAAGATATCAAAATATCTTGAGATTCTATTATATTTGTATGTATATGCGTGTATGTATGGTATATATGTATGTATGTATAGTTGCGCGTTAACACACGTTAAATTAAAATTAGCACGTTTGGCAAGTTTTCTTTTTCTATATTTCTTATTTTCTTATTTCTTGTTTCTTGTGATTAAACGTAAAAGATGTAATTCTAATATGGAAAAAGAAATTCGAATCGCATTTTCGAAAGAAACCCCTTCGAGATAATTTAAACGTAATGGGATTGAAAAGAGAGACAAATAAAAAGAAAACAAAGAAGCTCCCACACATATGCAAGAAATAATATCTCTAATATTTTTACAAAATACCTCTATGTACTGCGGAGAGTTAGCTTAAAAACAAAATGAAAAGAAAAGTAAAACGAAGTTTAATATAAAACGAATACAATACGTAAAGAATGATTACGCGTGTTTCACGTTGTATTAATAATCGATGATCGATTAGAATCCACTTTTAAAACGCGTCGAAAAACGAAGCTCATTGCGTGTGTGTGAGAGAGAGAGAGAGAGAAAGATGTAAGAAAATGACGGGTTGCATACCATAAGGGGTTAATAGATAAAAAGTAATATATAAATAAAAAAAGATACTAAAGAACGAATTTTATATATATATATGATTATATATAAAATGTAAGTAAATGGTTATATAATGAATATATTAAACAAAAGCAGTATTTCTGTGTGTTAACAGGGGGAACCGTTTTGTGAATCCCTCTTCCCCCTGGACCCCCGACGAAAAAGCTTTGCGTTTTCGCTAATTAGGCATGATCGATGTAATTTCGTCATCGTTATCATATGATTTTTTCATTTTCGCATTATAATATAATTCTTGACTCGTTTAACTCGTTCCGCTTTGATGCGTTAGACACGACCGCTGTTATTATTATTAATATTATTATAATTATTATTATAATTATTATATACGCGCACACATATGCTATATTTTAATATTAATATTACCATATATATATATATATATATCTATATACATATATACATACATATATATTTGTACGAAACTGTAACGCGTGTACTCAATTTGAAACATACAATTGTTAAAAGCCCGATTTTTTATTTTTTATTTCGAAATTTTATACGAGAGATCTCTTTTCATGTGCCATATATATATATATATATTAAAAAAAAAACAAAAAAAAAAAAAAA